ATCTCAATAAAGGCAGATGATTAATTAAGTAAAATACTCTGAAGGTGATTGTGATGCTCCTTTGGACAATGCACAGGGAATGGTGCTTGGGACCAAAGCTCTCTGCTACCTTTTCTGTCAGCAGAACTTTGGTCAACACAAAGCATGAAAAACTCCCAAACCAGCTCCCAAATCCAGAAAAAAAATCGGGGGCAGTACTTCTAAAGCATTAGATCTTAAATCAAGTAAAGCTCAAAGAGCAACATGCAGCATTTCACACTGGTCATCCCAGGAGCTGCTGCAGACCTGCAGAAGAAGCTCCTTACCCAGCATTTCCTCCCCCTCCAAGGCTGACTTTGGCTGAAGCACCACAGGATAACCTGAACAGTTATCACCAGATGAAGCTCTGGGCCTAATACAAAAAGCTGCTCTCAATCCATGCAAGGATTATCTCAATAAATAGCCTCAACGTTACAAAATATGTGGGAGAGCCATGACTTTTGCTGGCACAGATCAGTGAAAAATGCTCTTAGCTCAGCAGAGCATTAGAGATGTATAGCTAACCAGGATCAAGTTTAAGGAGAAAACTGAAGCAGTAATTGTCATAAAACAAAAAGCCCAAACTGAATGATAGGATGAGTAGGAATTGCTGGTGAGAAAGGAAAATTGCTTCTTGTAGAGTGACAGGAATTAAAATAAAACACATCATGCACTGCTGCACATACTCCAAACAGTTATTGTCATTAAACCTGACTTCAGCTTCTGCTAAGGCTCATTTTCTAACACCACTGCACTAAACAGGCTCCCCTTCTACGTGATTGGAGTTGAATTAGACTATAAAGGAAGACAAATTTCGCTGACTGTGCTGTCTCACTCTTGTGCTACATTTCCTGATGGTATCAGGACTGTGAGGTAGGGCATCCACTCTGCTAGGGGGGCTTTGTGATCTTGCTATCTCCATTAAGAATAACTTAAAAAGGTGCAATAATTGCATATTAGAATATATATGCCTTCATATTATAACACTGAATTTCCATGCTGTGCCATGCTTTTATTCTTCACTGGCTTTGAGAATTGTCATTTCAGTACATGCAAGTATCTTATTATATAAATTATGAAACTCAAGAAAGGTATAACGACTCAAAGTAGAGCTTTTAAAATGCAAATAACTGAAAACAACAAAAGTTAAAACATATTTTATGCTTCTGCCATGCTTTGAAAAGATAAATGCCAGCCTGTTTACTACTATAAATAATAAACCTTGTTCACTTTACAAAGATCTTATGGGGATTGATCACTTTGTATCTTACACAAGCTTGAACATGTGAAGTGCTGTGACCCAGTTCCACATATGCTTTCCTTTGTGAGATTAATCTCCCTAAAATGAACGTGGCAGCTCACAGCAGAAACTGCTTGCTTTCCTCTTTGCGTGTATAATGTTTTATATTGCAAAACAAAAGGGACTGCTGGTCTCTGGTATGGTCTCCTGGTATCTTAGGATCATACAATCATTTAGGTTGGGAAAGACCTTTCAGTAATGGCAAAATCTCAACCATTACTTCAAATTTTGGATTCCCAGTTATCATGGACTAACGAAACAAGAAATGAACGGCATAATATTATCAGTGTTTATTTTAGTAATATACCTTCATTATCCAGAGTGAGGGGAGATGAAGAAAATCCAATACTGACACCATGAGACAGAGCACAGTGGTGGAATCCTTAATCTACAGATAGATTTTGGGCTAGTTTGGGCCCATTCCCTTTATTTCTCTAAACTCCCTAGATTTTTACCTTTATTAGGTTGTCCAGGCTGTGGTAACTCCCACACAATGTCAAATTAAAAAAAAATCATGAGGAAAAAGTGTGAAGGGAATTGAGTATTATTCTGTCCCTGAGGCCCCACTGCCACTTGATGTCACTATTCCTGTCAGGCAAAGGCAGGCAGGTGCGTGTCTGCAAGAACTGGATTTCAGCAGGTAGGAAGCACCCAGGAAAGTCATACAGATTATTTCAATAAGTCACAGGATTATGCCTCGTGGGCAGCACTTGTTAAAACAAATCTATTTCAAAGGCAAAGCCAGAGATTCAGTTCAGGGTGAGTCTCCTTGTGATCTGCTGGGGATAGGCTGGGACTGTCTGACACAAATGGGCAGGAACTTCACATGGCAAACACCACATCAGGGTAAAAAGCCCTCCTCCCCCTCTATTACTACAGCTTAGCTCCCAATAAAGCAAACTAAAGGAGGAAAACCTCCATAAATAAGACAGAAAAGATCTAAGCCCAAGCAGAGACCAAAGAACCTCATACATTTAATGTTGACTGTGAAGCTCTTCCTGCTTGTCTTTGGCCCTGGAAACAGTGCTCACAGAGCTGAGAGGGGAACAGCTGAGGATCCGAGGCAAGATTTAAACAACAGGGACAGGAATGGGGTCATCTGTCCTACAACAAGACAATTATCTGTGTTTGCATCTGCCAAGGGCAATGGAATATTATGGTATTAAGAACAGAACAACAAGATTTTCACTAAGAAGATATTTTAATAGTCATTCAGAAGTAGAAGAACAAATAAATAAAATGCCCAGCAATGCTCATTTGGGAGCTTTTTGCTTCACGAGCAGTCAGAGAAACAAGGAAAGGCCTGGAGGAACAGCAGCAGAGGGTCTGGCTCTCAGGGTCTTTTTAGCCCAAGGCCATGTGTCATGACTAATTGAAAATGATAAACAACCTCAGGTGTTATTTATACTCTTGCTCACAGAAGCCTGTAGCAGTTAATACTGAAATGTCTATACATACTCATATGAGGCGTCTACAATACATCTTATATTTTGCATTTAAACAAATTTGCAGTTTCATGCATGATGAACCTGGTTTGCACATGAGTACAAGACATATTTTAAATGCTTTGCTCATGTGGGGTGTGTCAGATTGACCCTGATTAGCTCAGTGCTAGAACTGCCAAGGTCTAATGACCTAGAACTGCCAAATGCCCTGTACAGGCCATTCACTCAAGACATGGACTCAATGATCCTTGTGAGTCCCTTCCAACTCAGAATATTCTGTGACTGTGAATGTATTAATCAAACACATAGATACCTTTCTGTGACTGTGGTTTCAATTCTGCTGTCACCCAACACCCCATAGAGCAGTTTGTACTCACACTAAGGTTTCTTGTGACAATCTACTACCCCCAAATCCCGAATTTTCCCTCGTCTGTGCACGAGTTAAAAAAAAAAAGTCATGAGAGACTTGAATGGAATTCGTGCAAGAAAGAAAAAGAGAAAGTGCAAACAACAACAAGTAATGCAATGGTCTGGTTCCCGCAAACTGGGACCAGTTTGAACTCCCAGTTTGGTATTGACAGAAAACCATTGCAAAACAATGTCCCAGACAAGTAATGGTCTTTCTTTCTATGTTTTTTTCCTTCACTCAAGGCAATTTAAGTACTATATTAATGGGTTTTGGTTACCCATCATCTTTAATTCACCCACTACTGAACCTGATGGTTTCAAATTCCCAGAAGGTGAAGGACTGTTTGTAAACATGTTCTTGCTGCACTCTAGTGATGTGTACCCATGCCAGTAGAACTTTGTTGTATGATAAAATAATTATCAGGTTTACAATATCTCTGTTGGATAGGGATTATAACAATTCAAGTCAGAGGAAACTGCACACCATTAATTTTAGTCATCTCTCAAGACTACACAGCAAAGCTATGACACAGCAAGTAGTAGCAGTCATTACTAGTTCCCACTTCCCCAGATTAACCATCCTCAAACACCAAGCTTTCAATTAAACCATGGCAGTAAGTAAATGCTATTTATACAAAGCTTGCAGCTTGACTGTTTTATAAATGGGTATGTGGGAAGCAATGTGAAATATCAACTGATAGTTAATATTTAAATTGCTGCTCATTTACACTTAAGGCAAGTTTCATTGCTGCTATTTGCAGAGAGATTTAAAGTTCAGAATTCAGTGATTCACTTCAAGAACTTTTATAAATAACACTGTATTATAAATCAAAAAACAAAATCAACTTATCATGTAGGAATCTTCCTTCTCCCAGGGGACAGGAATTAGTTTTGAAGACAGTAATGGGTTTTTAATCTATTGTAAGAACAGGTTCTTTGATCTGTCTTACAAACAGCATTCAGGAAGGGGAATACTCTGTCCTGGATGCCTAAAAACCTTACAGGAGTCACTCAGAAAAGTCAGGAAAATGATTGTATATGGGATAATCTGCAGTTTGAAATAACACTGCCTTGGCAATGCCATCCTTCACACAGAGGATGCTTGGGCACTGAGCAGATTCCCCAGGGAAGTGGTCACAGCACCAGCCTGACAGAATTCCAGGAGTGTTTGAACAATACTCTCAGGCACATGGTGTGACCTTTGAGGTTGTTCTGTGCAGGGCCAGGAGTTGGACTCAGTGATTGTTGAGGAACCCCCCAGCTCAGGATATTCCATGATTCCCTGATCATTTCCTTTGACTGTGATAGCTTATGTCATACACAGAAACATGCCTTGTTGCTAGGCCTCAATTCCACCAGCAGTACAAGCACTAATTTAAACAATCATACTCATTTTTCCTAATGAATTTTGAATCCACTCCTATAAGGTACAAATGGAGAGAGAGGAACACATGTAAGTCCTGCATGCATTCCCAGTATCTCTTCACCACTCTGCCCTGGGTGGTGCTCCACCCACGTACTGCTCTTCACAGAGCCCCCTCTGAGTTTTCCACAGGTACCTACCAGGCACCTGAATGAAACTGGGGAGCTCTCAGGTTAATACCACAGCTTCCAACAAATCTGGGGTCCTTTCAATGGTTCCTCAGCATTAAAGCAATGAAGTAGAAGCTCTGCTGAATATTTTACCATACTTCATTTTAGTCCTATTTTATTCTAATTTAATGGAATTTTCCTAAAAGAAGACTCTCTAGATTCATGTGGCTCTAGCAAGGTGTTCAAAGAGAGAAATTCAAAAACTTACCTGGCTGTCATCTTCTAACTTGCTCTGTGTCTCAGCCCCATCAATTTGACAAGGATATTCTCATTTTCTTCATGCTCTATGTAGTCCCTGTGGAAGAAATTGGATGCATTGAAAATATCTCAATAATCCTCAGTGGATGATGAATTACAGGAATACATTTCTTAAATAATTAACCTGAATGTGTGCTAACACCATCAATAAGATGCTCTCCGAATGCCCAGACACCATTAATAAATGAGAAAAAAACCCCAAACAAATCAGCAGTTCTGCAATTAGTTACTTTCATAAGAAAACAAACATCATACTAAGATTTAATAAAAAACTCACATAATCCTTCCACTGAAGGGAAGGCTAAACAGACACCAGTTCAATACAAAAAGAGGAAAAAAAATTAAAAGAGAGCTACCACTCTAATAGAGCCAGTACTCTCAAGAGAGCACTTTTCTCTCTCCTGTTCCTGTCCTTAATCCTAAAACCCAGTCAGTCTTCCTCAGGTGGGAAATCCATCAGCATCCTGCTCTTTATCACCTGGGCACTTCCACAGGACAACACTATTTCCTCCTTCTCCTCAAAGGAATGCTGCCTAAAAGCTCCTCCTAGAAGCTAGCAAAATGATACAATAAAACTGGGATTTGGGGCTGAACCTGGCAATGTAATGCACAAACCAAACAAACTGCTACACGGGAGTGGAAAAAAAAAGCAGGAGAAAACCCAGAGCAGCTCCGAACCTGTTAATGAACCAGAACAATTTCCTGGAGAGAACCAACTCCAAAGCAGGGCAGCAGTGAGGAGGAGGTGTGAGAGCCACGCTGCCGAGCAGTGAATTCCCAGGAGCCCGCTGAGATCAGGGAGCAGTCCCGTGTCACAAAACACCCCCGGGCAAGCAGAGCCACCTGTGCCTGGTTTCTGTCCAGCGGGTTCAGCTGATCTGCATTCTGCAGAGAAACGGGGGGAAACTGGGGCCCTTTAACACCTTTAACTGGGGATTTCTGGACTTGGACGTTCGCAGCTTTGAAAATCAACAGCTTAAATGAGCTCGTTACACAATATTTAAACTTTTAAAATTGCAAATGGTAGGGTAAAAATTTCAAATACATTCTGGCAATTTATTATTTATTCCTATGAATAAAATGCTGCTGCCTGCTCAGAAAACCCACTCTTAGGCATATAAACTCATTTGGTTCCCATAAGATTCAAGCTCCCAGGTGATCAGAATCTCTTTAAAAAGCATTATATAGGCTCTAAATCACTGCAGTGCTTTTGAAAACTGTACAATTATTAATATTTTCTATCTTCTGATCATCATTATGAAAACATTGAAATGTTTGTTATAAAAATCAGTACCATGGACAATCCATCAGCAAACAGATAAATTAAATTATTACTTAAAACATTCAAGCCATCTCAGCCACTCACAAGCCATCCTTGCAGCTTGGCATGAGCAATGTCACTGTTGCCTCTGACCTGCCACATTGCATTATCTTCATAATTAAGTGGGAATCCAGAATAACAATTTTGACCATGATAAAAAGATAGCCTTGAACTACAGCCTCTAAGGAGACCCACGGCATTTTGATTTAGGCACCCCAGAGGATTTAATAGGAGTAATAGGTTTAATTAAAAATTAAGTTCATTTATGTAAATAAGAAAAAGCAGGAACGCTGTTTTAGTTAGTTGCATGTTCTATGTATAGAGCAAAAATAAACAAATCTCAGAAAATTTAGTTTCATTAAAAGGAGCCTGGGTATCCAAACAGCTCTGATTAAACATGAACTCAAAATGGGAAAATAGAAAGTTTCCAATAAGCTGCTGTCAGTTTATTTATTTGCCTGACTCAGGTAACCATAATAATGTTTTCATGCTCTAATAACCTACCAAATGGTTCAAACTCCAGACCACCACAGCTATGAAATGAAGGATTTGGCTCCTTATACCTGCCCTAGCAAAACATGCAGAAGAACAAAGTCCTAGAGCTGTGTGAAGCAAGTTTATCTCTGAACATAAGAAGATAAGGCAAATTATAAGTCAGGTCTTTATTTTTACCATATCTTTTAATTTATAATTAGTTATTCAAACAATCAGTGGTCTAAAATTCCTCCTGCAAAACAGATGCTTAAGTAAATACCTGAAAGCTTATCCAAGCTTGAAAACTCCTGCTACCTAATTAAAATCTCTGAAAAAAACAGACAGTTCCTTCCTCTCTCTATGCCCCCATTCTCCTTTCTTTCATCCTCTCTGTCATAATAAGAAGAAGCTTTAGAAAAAATTGTCCATAATAAATTTATGAACTATGTGTTGTCTTTTAAATCTAGTTCAAGAAAAATACACTGAAAGCAACTGGCTTTCAAATGACTAGCAAAAACCTTTTTGATGTTACTGGAAAACAAATTTTAAGAGCTAACTATCCCTAAAATTAAAGGCAGGTTTTTACTGGAAAACTCTTTCCTCTGTGCATGTGTCTATTGTGATTGCCCTCACCCAGCTCACTCATAAAATGGTTACTCCAGATATCTGGGCTGGGACCATTAGTCAGCCATTTACTCTGTCAGGTTCTTCAGTGCTGGGCTGAGTCACATATGGCTGAGGGCTATATTTGCTATATCTACTTAAATATGTGATTACAAGACATTCATTCCCAGGAATGCACCATCCCCACCCTGGGGACCAGCCCAGCTCTGGGGCTGCTCCCCAAGGGCTGTGTTAGTCACGCCCAGGGCTTTGTCACTGCACTGACGAGGGCCAGAGTGCAACTCTGCTTCCTGAGGGCTGCTGCTCACACTCAGCACCCACCCCCAGCTCTGGCTTTGCAGCTGATGGAACAAGTGGACAGGATGGGCTTCGAAACCAGGAATGAGGAGGGAAAAGTCCCACTCGCTTTGTCACAAACAGTAACGTCAGATGTCCAGCTGGAAGAGGGATCCACTCCTCCCACACACTTGGCCATTTCTGCAAGCCCAGGAGCCAGCAGGAGCTGTCTGCTGCTCACATTTGCCATGTTTGGGAAGCAGAGCACGGGCTGCTCCATGCTGTGCTTCCCATGCGGAAAAACGTGGCCTGCATTCCTGAACGTGGCAAAACCATAACCCATCTCCTTCGGTGCTCCAGACAAACAGTTCTGAAGCCTGTACTTCTCTATCTAAAGGATCCAGATAAAACAGATTACGTCTAGAGTTTTGAATTATTTGTAGTGAATTTTCCAATAAAACCTATATTTAAAATAGTTTCAGTTCCTCCTCTGGGAGGTCCACAGCTCTTCATCAGTGAAACAACCTTGTAGCTGCCTTGAGAGTTCCCCTGAGTCCAGTTAAGGAACCTCATTTTGAAAAACCTCCCAGTCTCTGAAGGATTCACAGCCTCCAAACATGCTGTATTCTGACAATAAAAATCATTCATTTTGGTTTCCATTCTCTGGATGGTCCCATTTGCAACACTTTCCGTGAAGGACTGTCACCAGCTGACTGGAGACAAACAGCATTTCTCACTGAGCCATGACAGGCTGCCACTCTGCAGTGCCCAGAGCGATGAATTCCTCTCCCATCTCCAGTGAGTCACTGGCATTTGCCCCTTTGTAGCCTTCTGCTGCTGCTATCAGTGCACTGTGCTAGAGAAAGGACCAGATCTCATTTAAAACACAAGATGATACATGATGTTTGCTGCTGCACATGCTTGAAAACCGTCAACTTCACCTTCAGCAGCGTCTAGTTAAAATAAATCATACAAGAACTGGACTGATTTGCTTCAGGAGTGATACCAAGACTTTGCAGGAGGAGCTGGGAAGGAATATTAGGGAATGCTGGTTTTATGCAAGGTAAGACATGCAGTTGCAAATGTGCAATCCATGCATTCCAAGACAAAATGCAGAGACCTGAAAAAAAATGAAATGTTCTTTCTCCCCATAGCCATATTAAAATGTATGTATTTGGTGAACTGAAACTTAACCATTATGATTCTGAAGGCCAAAATTTGGCATTCTCTAGCAGACAAGTGCACCCTGGCTACTTTTCTTTTTAGAAATCTTGTCAGTAGAGATCTGGCTTTGCAAGACTGACCTGTCCCCTATCTCCTGTCTCAACTATGAGCCCAAAATTTAAATGCATTTGCCTCAGCTTTGATACAACATTCTGTCTTTGACAGGGTTTAAACTAGGCTTTATGGTCAGTGGCCTTATTGGAATGGTCCTCACAGACCAAATGACCATTTTTTGTGGAATTCATGTTAGCTATTTAAATTGCAGCAGATGGTAATTTTTTCAACAAATTTCTAGTTTGTTGCTTTAGGACAAGATAAATAAGGTTGATCTTCAGATGCTTATAGAAGAGAATCTGTTAAAGCTGTAGGCCTAAAATGCAGATTTCCTGTCAACTTTAATTAGCTTCTGTGAACCCTAAATTATGTAGTTATTTAAAACTAACCAGGGTGAAGAAAAGCTGTTTTGTCAACTTTGTGTTGTTCACACTCATCCAAAAAGATGACAAAGTGACACTGTAATGTGAATTGTATGAGTGAGAAACGAATTCCAAGCCCTGGAATTACAAAATGATTCAGAAGGGCCTGACAGAGGCTAAAATGAGAGGAACAATAATTCCTTATACAGAAATCAAAGTGCAAACGTGCTAAGCATGATGTCAATGAAAACCTGTGATATTTCTTTGGACAGAGAAAAGCACCTGTGGGGTAGATATGCTGAGAAATCTCTGTAGTTATTCCATTTGAGCTTTTTCATTGACGGTAACACAGTGGTGTTGCCACTGTAGTTTAATATGCTCACACTGTGTTTGCTAATGGTAGTAGAAGACAAGAATGAACTTTGAAAGATGTTTGCATTATACAAATGACCACAGGCCCTATTCATTAGTTACACAGTTACACAGTCATTAGGCAAATTTTACAAATCCTCATTCTTCACATCTGAGCACTGTTCGGAAATGTTCTCTCTGTAATTACTTTTTACAAACTGAGAGGGCAGCAGCTTTATTATTTTTCAACAGCAGAATAGTCTGTGCTCTTCTTTATCCTTCCCAACAGAAGATCATCTGGGGAATGGATCATTTTCTGGAAATCACAGACTGGCGTAGGAACTAAGAATTTGGGAAGAGCTTGTCTTTGCGAACCTCTGTTCAAGTGTGGGTGTATCGAATATAAAGTTTAGTCACAAAATTAACCAGATTTCAGATCACTAATTCATCCTTCAATAGAAAACTCAACATCAAAACTACCTGCTACCTCTTGCAAGGAAGAAAGAATATTTTGTTTCAGGACATTTTGCAGAAAAAAAATCAAGCTCATCACATATGCACACTCCATCACTGAGACTACTTGTTGTGCAAAATAAACAACAGAAAATAATGAATAACGTGAGATGTAATTACTAGGGCTACCTGCAAGTAACAAAAAGCTAACAAATGAAGAGGAAATTTAATTCAAATAACATTCAAATAAATGTGGGCTTCTAACATATGCTCGAAGTCACCATTTAAAACCTAGCCTATTCTACCTTCTTCTCTAAGAAGAAAGAGAAGCAGATTTTCTTCTGCTGTGGGAGTGCCAGGTCATGGCAGTGGCACAATAATTAGAACAAAGTCAGCAAGTGTGCAGTCACTGTAGATGCACATAACACACAGTATGAGACGGTCACTTATTCACTATCAGCCGAATCTCAGGGCTATCTTATCATCTTCTTCATTAGGAAGATGCAAGATTTTAGTCTTCTGTAAATCTGTGCAAAGAGAAAAAGAGGATATTCCTCACCATTGCAGGATATTATAACCCCTGGACAACTGCAGCATCTTGTAATGACTGCACGAGTCATTCTGGAGTCTCTTCAGTCCTTGGCTCTTTTTACTGATCAGTGTATGGGATTAACCTTATAAATAACTAGGAGGATAATAAGTAGGAAGATAAATAACTAGGAAGATAATATTTGGGTATAAACAAACATGTTTTTTATGATGAGGGTCTAGACACATTAATTCAGAATCCTATAGCTGTTTCTCTGATAGCTCTGTGCCTCACACTCAAAATAGACCCGAAATAGTAATTGAGTGAAGACTTTTGCCTTTTGTAAAGGATATATTTTAGAGGACTTCCATATAGTTTTTGTTAATCTTTCTTTGCTAGTGTCTACACAAGCAACCCTCATAAATACTTGTGAAATTCACTTTTATTAGCCAGGATGATGCTGAAAGCAGATACGACCTCTTCCTGCCATTTGTGTACATTCACACCAAAATCTCTGACTAGAAAGGGTAAAACCTGTAGCAGGAATGCACCTGACTGAACACAGTTTAATCAAGGAGCAAGGGTGCTGATTGCTATCAAAAGACAAGAATTTCTGAAGTGCTTATAAAAGTCAATTTGCTAACAACAAAAGCAAACGAGACTGCCAGAACCAAAAATAAATCAAAATTTATCAAAGAAATAGTTACAAATTCTTTTTTCCACGCTTATACTACTGGAATTTGGTGTTTCAGCACCATCCCCTGAAGGGTCTGCCTTTTGAGTCCCGTAACAGAGCCCCGAAGACCTTGGGCTGTGCCCACCTCTGCCGTGCCTTCATCGCCGGGGTGAGGCAGTTGTCAACATAGCAACGTGTAAAGCAGAAAAAAGAGCCAACAGTAGAGGTCAGCCATGAACTGTAGATTTCGTCTCCAGATTTCTTGCCTGAACAATTCCTGCTGTTTACTGTACACCCAAAAATATCTGGGGCACCTGTGCCAAAACAGCAGTGGGTAGCAGGAGTAGGAGGAAAGAAAATTAGTTTCCTTTCCAAAATGAAACGAGGCAAAAATCCAGGTACTGAGAGCACTGCCATGGGAAGGTTGAAGTACAAATGAGTAATAACACTCTTTTTTTCGGCAAATAATACAGAGCTCCCCTAGCAACTTGTCCTTGTCTACTAGCTGGTCCAAAAAGGTCAAGATCTCACTGAAAAAAATACCCACCACAAATCAAAAAACATCAGCTATGACTTGGCTTTTGGAGAGTTACCTTTGCCGTTTCCTGGCTTCCACTACCCCTTGGTAAAGTTGTTTGGCATGTTGGCTCGTTGGAAAAGGGGAATGTTTCGGTCCTCCTGTGTGTTACACCAGGAACATATGATGCACCAATGTGCTGGGCTACTCAGGTTGACCCCGGTTTCATCTGTTTTTTTGCTAAACATTTAAAAATACTTAAACAATAGCTACATAAATTAGGTCACTGCTTGAAACGAAACAGACAACCTGGATTTTTAAAGCTGAGAATTAGCATGGACTAACAAACTGCTATTTAATTGTTATTTGAAAAACAAGCATTTAGTTACCCCTTGCAAGTGAGGACACACTTCAAAACCATTCTTCCTGAAGTGCAACTGCCTTGGACATTCATTTAATGCACCAACTGGATTTGAAGGACAGGGATTTTGACTGAAAGAACCCATGCGTGGTCTCAAAAATGTGCTTAGAGTTGCAAATGGGAACCAGACAATCAACAAAATGCATTGCATTTTCTAGGCCAGCTTTCCAACTGTGATGCATTATACCCACACCAGGCAAGAGCTCAGGCATCATTTTTTCTGTCATGTGTTTGTCAAGCACTAAACACGATGCCCCATGGCCATGGCTGTTTTCCCCTTATCTAGACAAAAGATCCAGCACCTGAGCCCACAGCCCTGCATCTGCTGGGGATTTAACAGCTGTGTGTGCAACATAATTTTGGCCATCACCGTCCTGCCCCAAATGTGACCTAAGCCAAGCTGCTGGCTGAGGCCAGCAGGGACTGCCCTGGGTGCCCACCCTGGCTGCCCTCCCCTCGCCCCCGGCAGTGGATATCGTACTCAGGGCACTCACTCTGCTGCCCTTTGGGCTAATCCACGCCTTCCACAGCAGCAGCCGCTGCCGGTGGCGAAGGAGAATGACCGAGCACCTGTGCCGAGGAGGGCAGGGGAGCTGGGGGGCAGCTCCGTGGCCCTGGGGGCCCTGGTGCCCCGTGGCTTTTGGGCCATGGCGCGGACAGGGTGTGCTCCTGTGCCGGCTCCCCTTCCCTCCCCTTCCCCTCTTGCCTCCCAGCCTTGGCTCCCCGCGGTGCCGCTGCGGGTGCCCGTCCCCGGCGGGGCTCGGGGAGGGCGGCGGGCGCGGCTGCCCAGCAGGGAAGGGGCGGCCCCCTCTGTCGCCTCTATAATGCCGGGGCCCCTCGCCCACCGCTCCGCATCGTTCCTGCTGCCGTAGCCGCCTGCGAGCGGCTCCGCTCCCTTCCCTCCGGCGCGGGGTCGCTCGAGGATTAGGGGCGGAGGGAGCTCCACCGGCGGGAGGCAGGCGCGGAGGCGGGTCCGTCAGCATCCCTGCGCTCCGCTCCGCTCCGCGCGGCCCGGCGGCGCCGTAGGGCGAGCAACGCTGCGGGCGCGGGAAGGGGCCGAGTTGCCGGAGGTGCCCGGGGCGCCGGCGGCTCCCGGCGGCTCCCAGAGGGCCGGATCCGCGGCGGGAGAAGCCGCGGCTGCTGTTGCCGTGTCCGTCCGTCCCCCGCGGCGCCGGCGCTCCCGGGATGGGCCTCCCGGCGCTGGGGCTGTGGCTGCTGGCGGCGGCGGGGATCGTGCGCGGTGAGTGAGAGGCGCCGGCCCCGCGGGCAGCGCCGGGAGCAGCGGCGGGGCGGGCGGGACAGCGGGCACGGCGGGGACAGCGGGGACAGCTGCCCCGGTCCGCCCCGGCACGGCGGGTCTCCGGCCGCGGCCGTCCCCTTCAGCCTCTCTGCGCTGCGCCCCCGTCCCCGGCAGCACTGGGGGCTTGCGAGGGCTGGGACCGGCCGGGAAGGGACACGGGAGACGGGCAGAGCGATGGGGATGGGGACAGAACTCCGTCAGGGAACTTAAATGGTGGCTGCTCCAGGGCAGAGGCTGCGGCTCTAGGCTCAGGACTAGAAGATTGGGAAGAGAGAAGTCCGTCTGGAGTGGGACAAGGAGGGCTCGCATCTAGAGGACCTGTTCCTATCCTGCATCAGATTTAATTTCATTCGAAAAAGCCTCTGTCCCTGGTCTACTGTGCTCCATTCATGCGGACCTGCTCCCTCTCCCTTCACAGAAAAACGGCAGAGTAAAGATTGGATTTGAAGCGTAAAAGAGACAGAAATCCCTGAATATTATCATGTGAATTAATGTAGCACCTCTCATCTCTGTCAGGAACCCCGTACCCCGCTTCATTAATAGCTGCATGAACAGAGAACAAAGTGGACAGTACTTGCCCCAAAGAGTTCTCGGTCTGGAGCAGCCTGAGAGCAGGGTTGGGTCTAACCTGTGGCCATTTTTCTCCCATTGTCTTGCTGATGCCCTCTGCCGTATCCCCGGTCTGCTGTTCTGGTAGAGCTGTGCCAGGACAGGTGTCAGATCACAGGTAGTGTGTTTCCTCCTCATCACTTCTTGCTGCTGGACCGAAGGGTGTGTATGTTGAGGAATCATCACTAGCATATAAAATTTATCACTCCTGGCCAATCAAGAAATTATCAGAGGCAATCCACCTTACAGGCTGGGATGAACAGTGATGCGTTTGTGATTTGGATTTTATAGTAGTAGCTAATGAACTATGTGAAATACAGTGGCATTTTCCTGGGAATGCAGCAGGTGTAATAACGGATACATAATATCTGATAGCAGTAAAAAAGCATATGTCTCAACTTTTTCTGATATAGAATCCCAATTATTTATCTATTTACTTCTGTGCCCAAAGAGTCCCTACAAGGAGAGTTCCAAAGGAAGCTTTACAAGGAGCTGCTGAAAAATTACAACCCTCTGGAGCGACCAGTTGCAAATGATTCCCAGCCACTCACTGTCTACTTCACTCTCAGCCTCATGCAGATCATGGATGTGGTAAGTGTGTAACCTTCTAGGAAACTATCTCTTTCAAAGGGTGGATTTTTCCTTCCTGGAATGAAGTCATATGTGTCATAGTGAAGGAAGATTACAAGATATTGGAAAGCACAAATAATTCAAGATACAGTGCCAAATTTTGACTTCTTTAAAAAAAAAGAACTAAACTGAAAAGTAAAGTTTATGTCTTTCTTAGATCTCTTCTCAGAAATTCCCAGCATTCTTAGCAGTACAAAATACTTCAAGGGAGGCTCAAAATGTGTACTTTGCCTTTCGAATCCTTAACTGTACCTAGAACTAACAAGCAGTGTAGTCTGGGAGGGATATGCAAAACCAAAGCTCTTGATTTCTGGGGATCACTTAAGAGCTTCTTATAGTTGGAGATGGAGGGGAGAGGAAATCCTGGCCAAAATCCAAATTATATTATTTCTTGTGGTATTTAGACAAGATTGCTACATTTTATATGCTTAAATAGCTGCTCTATTTGCAACCACAGTTGCTTGGTATATCAATAGATATTTCTGTGCTGTGCTTGTAAAATGCACTATAGGATCTGTTGGGTTCAAATATGAGTAATTTAAGCTTCACTCTGTCACAGCTGCACAGAGATGAAACTCAGCATATGAGTGAGTTTACAGTATTTGTTTTTAGTGAATTCAGCTAGCTACGATAACTAACGAAGAAGTTAAATACTTAAAAGTACAGTTAATCTCAAAATGCCATTATCTTCCCATAAGATGTTTAAAGTTCAAGACACAAGGAAAGGATAAAAGAAAAAAAAGAAAGATAAGATTATTCATGACAAGTGGCTTGCTATCTGTTCCCTTGCATGCTGCCAGTTGCCAAAATCCAGACACTGTTTATTTAGTATCTGAAAGTCAGCAGACACAGAGAATTCTGCCAGTGCTCATAGTTTCTACACCCATTTTTGAAAGTTTTAGATTTATTGGACCTAAGGTGAAAACTAGGATGTGTATTTTGGGTGTGATATTTCCTGTCTGCCGAAGGGAGAGCAGGCAGTCGCAGGCAGGGAGCTGTTTCCCTGATGGGGCCACTAAAGCCAACAGGCAAACTACGGCAGTTCCATCCTTGTGACAGCAGCTGGGGTTTAATGTGTGTGATACCAGCTAGCAGAACAGGAGCCGTGTGGAGTCACATATTCTCTGGGTGATGGGGGGTGAAGAACATGTGTTTTGCAGAGTGCAACAGTTTGAAAGAGTGCTGGCAGCTTGAACTCCAAACGGGCTGTGGCTGGACTGCACAGGGATCTGAGAGCCAGGGGAGGACAGCCAGGTGTTAGACCCAAACTTTGATGTGAGATAAAAGCCTGTAGCGGTGGGATGATATAAGGGATGACACCAACACCCTACTGAGTGTATGTGGGCCTGCTTTTGTTGTTAATGGTGTTTCTTGTGGGTGGGCTTAGAGGTTTGCTAAAAAGCAGATCTCCTCATGCTGGATGCTCTCCTAACACAGAGTTAGCCTAATCAGACAAGTAAGCAAGAATGCTTTTTGACAATGACAGATGACAGAGAAAGTGTAAAAGCAAGGAACAACACAAGATGAATAAATGATACTGTGTTAATGAGGGATGCATTAATTTTATCTGTCATCTTCTAATTGGATTTGTTTAGAATGTGTCGAGGTAACACAAAGAATGAGGTATTTGAAGGGCAGTGTGAGGCATGAGAACAGGGCAGGTCAGAGGAAACTAAGAGAAGGAAGCTGAAGTGAAGAGCAGTGTGGAACAGACAGTGCTTCAAAGGTCTGAATGCCTGAAGGTCCCCAACCAGGTTACTGCTGCAGCTTCTCACTGGCCCCAGCCTTCATGGGTCTCTTGCCATGTACGCAAAGAATGTGGAAGACAGGGCAGGAATAACCACTGAGTTCTCTTAGCCCCTCATCTGTGTGATGGAGCTTTGGTCTTGCTCTTCTTAACTGTGCATCGGGCCTCTTAGTGGCTTCTGCAACAGCTCCTGCTGGCTGGAGTCTTCAGTTGCATAGCTCTGGATTTAGTTAGATTTTTATCTTTGTGTTCAGGAAGGCTTAGCCAGTCTGTTCAAGGCCTGTTCAAACTGGGTACCTGAATAAAACTCCCCATTTTAATGTATCTCTGCAGAACTCAGCACAGTACATGGTGCTTCCACTGAATCTTAAACCAGGCTTCAAAAAACACCCTTCTCAACCATGGACTTTGTTTACAGGGCCTTCTTCTGTAGCTCCCTGTAGGGAAATGCCCTCATGCTGCAGTATGTGCCTTCTCACAGCTACTGGAGGAACTTTTGCTTTGGTACAGGACAGTACAGTTGCCATCAAAGGATTTTTGTACTACTCAAGTTTTTTCCCCAGCTTTCAGAAACCGCACTTCTGGTGTCATTCTGTACAGACAGATGTAGCCTGACTATGTTAAGGTAACATGGTTTTGAATATTAACCACCTCAGGAAAGGTTTGTTGTATGGCCAAACCCTCCTAGGGATGACACAGCTTACAGAAACCTTCTTTAGGTCAGCAGAAATGTTTCCTGAACAGAATAACCTGAATGCCAACAAGATGTTTTTTCTACATAAATTGCATCTGTACTATAAAGGTTTCATTTGCATTTCCATGAGGTAATAATGGATCTCTCTCTTCCATACACTCCTGATGTGGTTATAACCATGTTCTTGACTGGTGGTATGAACAGTTGGCTGTTGGAGACACAAATGGCTAAAGGCCAACAGATAATCAACTTTGCAGAGTTAATTTCTTCTGGAGTTGTCAAATTTAATTAAAAACCATACAAAACAAAGGGATTGCTACGTACAAAACACAGATCACTAGCCAATCTGGGTGTAGTCAATGACTGGCAGTCTTGGCTAATATGATTCAAAATGGAGTTTTTGATCCTATGTGCCTTTCAAAAGCCCCTTCATCAGTAAGAAACAATAGTTTTTGTACTGGCTGTTTAGGTACAGCTCTTTCTGCTTGTCATAAAACTCACTGCAGTTCTTTCTCAGAGGTCTGGGATTGACAGGCAGAGAAGGAAACCAACCATGAAGTAAATTAAGCTTCACACTATAAAACAAATGAGTTTTCTTCATTGTCAACAAGAAACCAATGCTGTGGGAATGACAGCTACTTGCAATAACAATTACTGGTTTAACAAGCTAGAAACAAAACATGTCACCATCATACTTAGCTGCAGTTTATATATTCCCTTTAATGGCTTCTCAGCTGTTAGCAGCTGAGTTTAATTGGGAGTTAGACCTATCCAGAGCTGATCCATCAAATCCCTGCCAGAACAGATTGAGCCAGGCTGGATCCTGGCTGCTGCTATTCCTTACTTGAGGTCTCTTCCATTCCACTCTGACTTGGCTGACAGGAAAGAGGAGGCAGTAGATGAAATCTTTTCTAAATACAGTGGATGTTTCCTACTTTACATTTTTAGCTTAACCCTTCCTTTTAAAACTAGACATTATTTCTATTCAATGTTTGCAGATATGTTTTTATTGGTGTTGTACATTAATATGCATGCTAGTGTCAGGGCTACATAATGATGGATCTATAAGTGCCAATTACCCCAACTTAGTGTAGTTCACTAGAAAATAGAGTTAATGAATTGTCTGATGAGAATGCAAACTGGCATTGTAAATGATACAAAATGTTTCTAAATGGGGAGGAAGAACAGTGGCAGCATGAGAAAAATGCACTTTGGGGACACACGGGTGAAGCTGAGAGCTGGGAAATTAAGGGAGTGCTTAGAGGGGGAGATGGAATGCCTAAGATACAGCAAAGGAATTTGGAAGAAAGGTGGAATTTGGGTGGAAGAGGATGGGAGGCAAAATGGAAAGAATAAGATTTGAAAGAGTGAACTTAAAAAAAGCTTCTGTGTCAAGTTAATGGGAACTTTCAAGACAGAGATCTTAAGTGTCTTTCAGTTTGTTTTTTTTTGCTGTAGTCCTGTCCTGGTCTTAGCTGTGATAGATTTAATTTTCTTAGTAGCTGGTACAGTGCTGTATTTTGGATTTAGGATGAGAATAATGTGGGTAACACACTGATATTTTGGTTGGTGCTAAGCAGTGTTTACAAGTCAAGGACTTCTCAGCTTCCCTCACCACCCTGCCAGCGAGGAGGCTGAGGGGCACAGGAAGCTGTGAGGGAACACAGCTGGGACAGCTGATCCCAGCTGACCCAAGGGATATTCCAGACCATGTGGGACCATCCTGAGTGTATAAACTGCAGGGAAAGCTGGCCAGGGGGCTGCTACTTGGGAACTGGCCGGGCATCAGTTGGGGGGTGGTGAACAATTGCATTGTGCATCACTTGTTTTGTGTATTCTAATTCTTTTATCATTATTCCTTTTCTGTCCTGTTAAACTGTCTTTATCTCAACCCATGAATTCTACAGCAATCAGATGTGTGTTGTTTAGCTACCTGCTGGGTTAAACCCTGACAATTCCTTAACAGAAAAATCAAGTCCTCTTGAACCTTCGCAAACAATCCTGCAACTAAATCGCCCTGAAGTGAAAACAAAGTGGAGACAGCCAACTGGCAGAAGTGTTCTTTAAGGGTATTTCAGTTCTTATAATATCAGAAGATGGATTAAGAGGTTTCTTTTGCTTTTCACAGTTATTTGTTTCAATTTTCTTGAAATCAGAAATGCCAAGCAAGTTGATGAAATAAGTGAAAAATAACCTACTTCCTCTCTGATTTACTGAAATCTTGTTTCAAGACTCCTTGTAGGAATGAATATTGAATGTATACCGAACTGATAGCCTGATGATAAACATCTCTCAGGATCTGAATGAGAAAATATTTGGAAATGTCTGACTTAAGAAGACTAAACAAAATTGAAGAAAAAGCATGGAAGGAAAATCTTAAGAGACCAATACTGAGGCAGACAGTGGAAGGAGAGGGAGAGGGTTAATGGGTGGTCATGGCTGCTCAAGGTCATACCTTCAGTAGAATGTCAATAAAAATAAGGAATAGGATGTGGAGAAGCTATTTATTTTTCTCTACGTCTCACCTCATGGAAACCCCTTAACCTGCACAAAAAGCTGTTCTTTGGCCTCTGCCTGTCTGGTATTTCAGTGCTGGCCTGGAGTATCAACCTAACTTATGCTTAGGAAAAACTTCCAGCATACTCATTTTTGAGAAACAGGTTCTTGAAATATGCTGATATTATGTAATTTCCACACTGAAAGAAATTACAGCCACCAGATTTTTAAACACTGTATGGAGGTAAATACCTTCTAATACTCTTATTTGCTCCTGTAACATCCATCCCAATAATAGCATCAGAGGAGTATATTCAGCCCTTGCCCATTGGTTTAGAGGGAATGCTGGGAATAGACACAGCAGTGTTGTTCCTGCTGTGCTACACCTCACACAGAATAGCAAATGGCAGAGACAAACAAATGCAGTGATCATGAGGGTATGAATTTTGTGCCTAGCCTGATATTTTTATAACAGACATACCTGCATCTACTGTAAGTTAATACAACTAAGAGAAACATATCTGAGGGTATTCCAGCCCCAAAAGTCAGAAGATGAAACCTCAGAAATTAATGTAAAATAGTCACACATTTACAGTGCAAATGACTGCTTAGAGACACAAACATGAAGAACAGGAATATATTGAGATACACAGTGACACTTCAAATTCAACTTTTACTGCTATCTAAAAGAGTAGAAAAATCTTATTTTAGTTTGGAAAGGGCCTGCAGAGGTCATCTAGTCCACCCCCCTACTTCAAATATGTCTGAAATAGTTACTCAGGACTGTGTCCAGTCAGGTACTGACCACTTCCCCAGCGAGAGCTTCCACAGCCTCCCTGGGCAGCCTGTTTCAGTGTTCACTATCATCATGGTACATTTGTTTTCCTAACAAATAAGCATAACTGCCCATCTTCCAACTTGGGAACAGCACTAAAAAACACTTCTAGAAAAATGATACACCTTTCCTTCTTCAATAAAATTGGGTACACAACAAACATACTTTTGGTGAAGTATTCCAGATTTCTTGACTATTTTGAGCAAGATATGTATTTTGACTTCAATAACACTTTTCTGAATAACATTCTTAGCAGAAAGCTAAAGAATAAGGTAAACTCACATGGCAGAACTTGTTCTTAGAGTAGCTGTCAATGGTTCACTCTCAAAACGTAAGATTTAGTTGTGTGCTGAGATTCCCCAGGAAACTGCATCGAGTCACTGTTTTCCTTTCATTTCATCTGCAAGGTAGAATAGATAATATGTTTATTAAATTTGCAGATGACATAAGTTTGAGAGGCTTTCATAGAATACAGGGGGCAAAACCAGAATTTAAGACTGTCTTATAAAAGTAGAGTTAAAGGACTGGTTTGACCCAATTTTTGCCTTTTTTTTTTTTTTTCCCAAAGCCTAAATTATGTGAAATTTAGAGTATTATAGCTTAAGAAATATTTGGATGCACTGGAAATAATCCATCTGCTGGAGGCTTTGGTTTTATTTAAGGAATTTAATTTGATGCCTAAGAGCTTTCCTAACTGGAATCAAAGGCAGGTCAGTACTGCCTCTGTATGAGGAGAGAGATTTGTATTACTTTTATAGTTCCATCAACTGTAATTATAGTCACAGTCCAGCCTCTCTCTGTACTAGATGATATGTAAACACAGCTGAAAAGATCATCTTTGTTCCAAAACATTTACAAACTAACTATATTTTGATAGTCTAGAGTTTTTTAACATCAGAGTCATTCATGTCAGAACTACTGACACTTACAAAACAGTGTTAAATAAAACTTTAGCATAAAGAATTGTTGCAGTGGGTTCAGACCAATGGCTTTTTGATATTAATTTTGATTAATACATCTCTTAGATTTTTCTAAGGAATTTTAGCAACTTTACTCTGCAACTGTTTGAAATGTTACTGTTTTCTGGGGCTTTCTGGTTTGAATCTAGAATTTTTACCAGCTTTCTATGTGGAACTTGGGGCACCATTTTGGGGGTGTCCTAAGCTGATGGGGGCACTCAGCTACTGAAAGTCACTCAATGATCCCACTGACTTCTGGGCTCGTGCTCCCACCGCTCTGGCTTGTGCCAGTGCCTCTCTGACTGAGCAGCTACCTGTATCCACTCTTGGCGTGTTCATTTTTCTAGATGACCTGCACTTGCTTTGGGTTTAGATTCGGTTAAACTGCTCACAAAGTACCCGTGGTGGTTCTTCACTTAAAATTTTATGTATTTGGCAAAAACCCAAGCGAGTTCTCTCTCTGAGTTATGTTGCAAAACTTGGAGAATGCTGGGTTGATATTATATTACCTGGTGACTTCTTCAGCAAGACAAACATTTTCGTGGGTATGAATGTGATCATTTTGGTCTACTCTGATCAGAAATTACTTAATTCTTTTTTTTTTACTAGCTGAAGAATCAACATTTAATAACTTATTTAAGAAAGTTGAATTTAGCTACTTATCTTCATGAATATTGAAGTTCTTACTTAGATTGCATAACACCATTTAGTCAGGAATCTTTCATGGTTCCTCCAGACATTTGCTTCTAATTAAATCATTTACTACACAACAGTTTTTGCTTATTTTCTGGTTTCTCCTGCTTCTTTTTCTTTAAATTTCTAGTTAGGGGAAAGAAAAGTGCTGAATAGTTGTTTGCATGTAGTGAGCAGCAGCAGAATCTCAAGAGAAATCCTGTTCCTTTAGGCTGTTCAACTCACTTGTGCAGTCCAAAGGAAAAATGAAAGCATGCAAACTTTTGTTACGTTCATCTGGAGTTAAGTCAAAGTTTGCTTATCCTACATTGCCCTTGGTTACTTGTGTGACTTAGTTTTAGATATTCAAGGGCTTTTGTCCTTGTTTCATTTTACACAGTGAAGAGATTACAGCTGATTTCAATGGCTTACATACAGTGCTCAGCAAAGCCTCTGCATAAGGATCTGTTGGCAACCCAACACCCCAGACCCACTGGGCAAGACAGTCATGGGAAGTATCTTGAAATTCAGAAAAGAAAATTATGCTGTCTTTCAGAGAAGCAGAACAGCTTCTGTAAAGAAACAGACTGTAAAACAAACATCTTCCCCGCCAAAAAAGAAAAGACAAAAAAAAGTAAAAAGAAATTTAAATCTGGAAAAACAAACAAAAAAACCAAATCAGGAGGCTCATTGAGAATGGTGCTAACCAAGTTCCTAAGCTGTTTATCAAACCTCAGCAGCCTCTTTGCAAACAATGGCTGTGGCAGAAGCTCATCAAATCTGCATTATTCTTTTAATTTTAGCATTCATTTGTGTACGTTAGAAAACATTTCTCCAAGCTTTATTTTGTTCTCAGTTTGCTGCTTGATTTTTATTCCCACCATGCTAAAGGGAGAAACTGTTCACACTCTCATCTTGTAGCCATTTCCATTCTACCACAATTTATTCGTGAGAGTTTAGGAAACTGGAAAGGTGCTGGGATATGCTTTCTGGTATTATTAGTTAGTTTAATACCATGAAAGTTACTGGATTAGAGCAGAAAACAGAGCATTCTACTTTTCCATGAAATATGAAGAACAGATCTTTTCAAACAACAGTCTAAAATATTCTGATAATGGATCTACTTAAACAAGCAGACACCACCACTTCCTGCCATACTGTGGTGAGATATTGATATACTAAGAGAAACTGCAACCTTATTTCTGTGATATTTGTCCATTTTTTCTGTGCTTCTAAATATCTTCTGGCTTTTTTGACTATTCTTTCAGCATCTCTCTTTTACCTAGTCTGCTCAAACAGTGTTAGATCTGGAAAGATATTTTAAACACAGGAGGATGTGTAGGATGGAATGGGAAGCAATGAGTGTACACTAATTAAAGGCAGTTTGCAGGAAGGAGAAAAGCACTGACTAAAGGCTATAAAAAAACCCTCCTGATAACAGTTAGCTGGAGGACATTAGAGATGTTCATTGTATGTGAAAATCAGAACTTCTGTTCTGCTTTCTGGTTCCAAAGATCTTTGGAACTTTTTGTAATACAAGTCATTTGAGGTTTTTCTGTTTGGTTGGGTTTTTTTTAATATAAGTAAAACCAAGCAACTTCTGAAACCTTTTCCTCATTCTTTGTGATACAAATAATCAGCACAAATCATAAAAGCTCAGTTTTCTAACTACATTGCTATGGATGCCCCACTAACTTAAAAAGACAATAGGCATCTACTGGTATGTCACTTGTGATGAGAAAGGCTTGCAACCTCACTGTGAAAAGCAGGGTTAAGGTCCTAGGAAACAGATTCCATTGTGACTGGTTGTTGTAGAGCACTGGGACCACAAATACTTCACATTTTACACTGAACCTCTTACTAGAACAACAGAATTTGCAAAGTTGCTTCATCTAGTAATTATTGGTAGTCCTCAGTAATCAGCTAAGAAAACAAAATTACCACATAGACATAATTTCTGGGAGTCATGTCTGATTAGTTAATGCACAAAGCTTTTAATTCACAGAAGCTTGGGCATGAAATGAATATATTGCCTGTAATACTCAGAATTGCTCCTCTCTTCTAAAAAGTCTGTCATATTGAAGTCCAAGACAATACATGATGTCACTATTTAATACACAAATTCACATCCTTTGTTTTGACCAATATGGATCAGCTTGTGGCAATTTGTATGAGATGTTTGAAAGCCCCATATTTTTCTTTATAAATGTTATTGTCCTCTGACAGTGAAGCTACACTGCACTGGCTGAGCATCTTGCTCCATGAAGTATTCCATCAGCATTTCCAGACCTCTTTTCCTGGTACATTATTTCCCTGTCCTCAGGCTCCTGGGGGACCTGCAGGTCCAGTGCCAGCCCTGAGGAGCTCTGTGTGTGCAGTCTGGTCCCTGCTGTCTGCGGGTTTTTGTGCTCACCCAGACCAATTACGTGCTCCATAAACCTGCTGCTCCTTGGCAAAGCCTGTTCTGTGCAGGGACACCTGGGACTTGACTTGGCTCTGTTTATTTGCTTTGCCTCTGACTGCAGGGTCCGTGTGCACGACAAGGGAGTTCAGAGGCAGGTGGCTGCCCCTGCTGAACCCATTTCTTTTCAGGGAAGGCTTCTAGAGATGCTGTGGGATGGGAAAAGCAACCCCAAACTCACCATCACAGCCTGGGATCTGTGTGGGGCTGCAGGCTGGCAGGAAATGTGCTGCAGCAGTGGCAGGGATGGTGGCAAGGGAAGGCAGGAAGAGTCACTAAAGCAAGGTGGTGTTTCTGTTTCTGCTCTCTGTTCCTATCCAGGGCTCTGTGCTCAGAGCCATGTAGATGCACTGCCCACTTTTCTCTCAGAACAGCACACACTGTCAAAAGTTTGCAGTAATTTACAAAAATTTGCAAAAAGAATTTACCAAAAAGAATAATTTACAAAACTGCTGACAGCAGTTGAACAAAGTATTGTCAATGGATTGGAAGCAAACAATTCTCTATCTATGAACAGCATATTAACATAAAAACATTCAAATGTTAATTACTTCAAATTTGGATGATACAGATGTGAATTCTTCAGTTTCTCCTGAACTCTTCACCATATTTGCCTGAATAGACCACTAAACAAACCAACTGTTCCCAATCTAAATATATCTCTGAGTTACAAAAAAAGAAAAGAAAGAAAAAAAAAAGATCTCACAATGGGTTGGCAGCAGGGAGCCCATTTGTACATGAGCTTACATAGAAAAAGAAATCTTTCAAAGCTCACTTAGAATTTTAATTACTTGAATAATTTATTTTAAGTGTGTTAACCAATTTATTTTTAATTTATTCAAAATTAAAAGAATTATTCTCCAAAAATAACCAGAAGCAGCCTGAAGTAAATATCTATTCAGAGTTACCCTTCGGTTATGCTTGCATTTTCACGCCTGTTTTCTGAAATTGGGATTTGCTTTGCCAGAAGGAAAGGTTGGTAGCCCTGGCTTCAACAACAGCTAACTGGGAAGCACTAGGAGCGTGGCATGAAGCCACACTGCTGCTCATTGGCAGCAAGATAAGAATATGATATTCAGCCAGTTTATCTCTCCAGTATCATCTGGTAGTGATGAGAAGCCACATTTGCGTGGTTTATAATCCTGGCTCTGCATTACTTACATGGTCCTCATCATGGAGGAGCCTGAGGGGGAGAGGAGCAATCACCATGTGCAGAGTTGGAGGGCCCACGCACATGTTTAATTATACAACGCTTAGAACTTTTGTTGGCTTGTTTTTCCTGCGCTCAGTCCTGAGTGTGAGCATATT